GAAGGCTCATCAGAGTGGCCGAGAGCTGGACATGACGCTGCTAGTGAACTGGATCATGTGTCCGTGTCAAATGTGCTTGCACATCGTTCCTTTGTGAAGAGGCTTGGCGACGATGCATCTTCACTTTCAACTCCCAATGAGAATGGAGCGCAGGTGGCGGATAAGTTCAAAAGCACGGCTGATTTTTTTGACAGCTTGAGTCGCCAGTTGGTGGAACAAGAAGCAGCGTCCGCGTTTTGGCAATCTCAAGCGCGGCATGGTAACCGCAAAGTGCCGGAAAAGTCTTTTTGGAGGGGCTTTGTCCATGATCCACAGCAAAGGGGAGTTTCCTCACTCCGGCCACGTGTGTTTTCTTGTGGCGAGGCAAGGCGTCAGGAGAAGCAAGGAGAACTACCTGGAAATTGGAGCCCGGCCTCTTCCGCGGACAGCCCGCAGCTGAATAGCAGGGGCAAACTTGCTACAGTGAGGAGTGCTGCAAGTGGTCAAGTTCAGCTTCCAGATAGTTTGTCAAAAGCAGGCAGCAACATAAGCCGACGAGGTGCTAGCATCAGGCAGAATGCTGACACAGTTTTGGGTCCTGAGACAGACTGCGCGGCCAGGGGGCAGCCGCAGCCGACACCTTGAAGCGGATCCTCCTGAGGGCATCCGGCGCAACGGTCGTACCAAGACTATCAGTGATGAATCCAACTTAGCCAGCGCAGAGAGGGGCAGTCCAGATGAAGAAGCTCGTCACAGCGATGGCTTTGCAAATCGGCCCCCCTCACCCAAGCGACCCAAGGTAACACTAAACAGATCTAAACAGACTCTTCCTAGCCCCGCAACTGAAGCACAGCCGCATCGGATGACGCGAGTAGTAGCAGTGGGCAAACACGGTTGACGTTTGGGAGCAGTGATGGGTTTGGAGCTTTTGACAAGAAGTATGAGAATCAGCTGGAGCGCTTTTTGGGAGCCTTGGTGCAAGCAGATCACAGGTTGACTGGGGCTGATGCCGGACATAGGGTCCAAATTGTCGATTGCAGTTTGGGCCTGGAAGGGGAACTTGGGGTGGACGCATTTGTCAAGGAGGTGTATAGCCGGCTTGACGTGGTTTTGTCTCAAAGGGACGGATGGGAGACTCGCTTCAGGGAATTGGAAGCCTTTGTCGAGGAGAACGGAAGGCTTCCTCGAAAAAGGGAAGCTATTGCTGGTCGCGCTGAGACGGTGCAAGGCAGGTGGTTGAATCACCAAAGTACACGAGTCACCTCGCAGCAACTGCCAGCCCACCAACTTCAAAGACTTCTGAATGCAAGATCCGATCTTGTCCGCAGGCGTGCTGAAGGGTGGATGGCCGGTGGCCTTGTTGGCCGCTTCAAGCAGAACTGCCGGGAGCTGAAGGAGTACATAGAGATGAATGGCAAACTTCCAACCGCGACGCGAACCAAGGGCGACTCTTCTGGCCCTCGACTGGCGACGTGGTTGCGGAAGGTTCGAGCGAATGGAGTTCTGCCTGAGAGGAAGATGCTGGAGGAAGTGCATCCTTTAGTGAAAGAGCTCCTCCAGAAACGGGACGACAAGGCTGTAAAGATTGACCTGGCACGATGGAAAAAACAGCTGGAGAAAGTCCTCCACATCGTGGAGAAGCATGGGGGGCTCCCAAAATTCACGACTGAGAGAATGTTGTACCAGTGGCTCCGGACGCAGCTCCGACGACTCGACGCTCTGCCGCCTGAGTTGGCAAAGCGACTTCGTGGCTCTCATCCGTGGATCGCAGCGGAAGCT